GTAGAATATGTGGTCAGACTTGCATGGTTTTGCCAGTTTGGTACTTTAGAGACGGTATCTCAGTGTAGTCAACTGCATTTCTCCTGTTATAAACAAGATGGAACATTTTTCCTACATTTGAGAGCCATTTGCATTTCTTTTGATGAAGATTATCTGTCCTTCTCTCTAAGCATTCATTTTGGTGTTCTTTGTATATTCGAGATACCAACTTGCTGTCTTGTTTTATGTTCCAAATATTTGTTTCCAGTTTTTACCATAGAAGCTTTTCTTAAACATTTCTGTATAATCAAATGTGTTAACCTTTTTATTGTTTCTTGATTTTGAGTCAAATTAGAGATGTTTCCCCTCTTCCAGGTTATACACAAATTCACTCACGTTTTTCTGCTAGTAATTATGGGTTCATTTCTTATAGCAAAGAGGATAAGTAATGGATTCAGTTTTTTCCTTTTCTACGTGGCTGTCAGTTATCTCAACAAACTGATTAAAGAGTCCTGTTCCTTGCTGACCTAGGTGGCTGCCTTTAGTGTACACGAGGTTTCTTTATGCCATTGGGTCTTTCTTTCTTGTTTTGTTCCAGTCCGTTTGCCTGAGCTAATACCTGTTTTAGTTATAAAGATTTTATAGTGAAACATTTGATTCCAGTATCTTTTTGTTGGTTGAGTGTTAGGATTGAAAGGAAGTGATAGTCATATCTAAGATGCATTTTCCTCAAGCTCACTCGATGACAAGGACATCATGCTAAAGGAACAAATAAGAACAACCTTCTTAATTGTTGTTCTTAATTGTCGTACCAATTGTAAGCAAATTGGAAGATCACATGTTAGCTTTCTCATGCATCATCACCCTTGTATAGGTTCTGTATACAACAGAGTAGCCACCACTGTCATTATATGGCTTTAGAAATTAAGCTCAAACAAATTACTGTAATGAATGCAAAGGGATTTTTACACATTTGAAAGCTATGTATTGTCATTTTGCCCACTTCTTTTCTTTTTTTAAAGTAACATGAGCCCACTCCTGTGTCACAAGAAATAGCTCTTAACTTTTGCCTTAAATTTTACTATTTAAGCATACTTTGTTGAAAATGCCATAATACAATTGATTATTGTGACTTTAAACTCTATCCTGTGATAATCATGCTTCTTGAAAAGTATACATAATTCGGCTACTTCTTACCTCACAGGGCCGCTCCTTTCCCAGCTCAGATGAGAGGGTCCACTGATATTGAGAGGATGCGCGATTGAAAATAATAGTTTTTAAAGGTTTTTACCATTTACAAATTGTGTCACATTTTCACTCCTGCAACACTGTAGAAACAATAGGCTGTATCACCTATTTTGCAAGCATATAATTAGTTGGTGGGTGTGAATGACAGTGTCCTCTGTTCCCAAGTGGATTTGTGGCACCTTATACTGCTTGACCTGTGTCCCCTAATTGCCAGTTACTGCTCTGCTCTTTTGTTCTAGTGAAATCTTTGGCTTTTCTCTTTATGTAGAAGCCTTTGTTCTTGACCTCTGGTTTCTGTCCTTTTCATTTTGAGAACATTCATGCTGGGGCGTCTGCCCCACACAGTTTTCAGGTGAGGCAAGGCTCACCCTTACCCGGGTAAGTGCTGTAGCCCTGATTGATTCCCAGGGTAAGGCTAGACAACGTTTTGGCGTCCGTGTCCTCTGAGAGTTGTGCTATACAGAACTTACCCAAAGTTCAGCAGAATCCTCGGGATTAACTGCATTTGCCAAACTCCTGGGTGAAGGTGGCGGGCACAGTGCCAGTACCTTGAATCACTTTTCTTTCCCCTGTAGGCTTTTTAACAGCTGGTTCTAAACACATGAAAAATTCAATAGTGCGCTAACCTGGTTCGCTCCTCCAAAGCTGTCTTAATTTCAGATTCTTAATGATTCCCGTAACTCGGCACCTCGTGTTTGGCTCCTTCAGCATTTTTCGATGTGGTTTGAATGCTGTGGTGATGCAGTCGTTGGGTTAATTCAGACCTTAGTTCCACCCTCTCTGCTTGTGAGATGTTGGGGATGCTAGGTCCCGTGCCGTGCCTTCCGTTATGCCCGTTGCCCCGCCTCTGGAACAGACTCAGACCCTGTTCTTGGTCCGTCTTGCCTTTTGGCACTGAGTCACTTCAGTGTCATCTTCCACATTTCCATGGATCTCCTTGACTCCTTATCCGCTTTGGAAAGAAATGAGAACAGAAGGCCCTCGCCAGCTTCAGGAGCAGCCTTGGGTTGTGCCGTGCAGAGACGTGCCCTCTCGTGTCATCTTGTGTTCTACGCTGGCTTTTGGTGTGCTCCGTGCAACCATTTGTCTCCCTTCAGGAAAGAAAGGTGCTGTTACCCCCTGAGAAAGCACTTGAACTCCAGGCCGTCCTCTCTGTGACCTCCAGTTCCTCAAAGCGTTAACCTTGCCTCCCACCCAGCCCTGCCCCCTGATCCCTGTGTTTACTCTCAGCCCACGCCCATTAACCTGAGGCCACCAGCTGCATGGTAGCCTTTGACTCATGCTCTCGCTTGCTCCCACTAAGGAGCCAGGTTCCCCCTAGAAGTTATCCCCCTCCTCTGCTGTACCCCTACCCCTAGCCTAAGTAAAGCCTGCTTCCTAGTGGCAGGCAGCTGCCTGGCTTCCCCTAGCATCCAGAGCTCTCCCTCCTACAATGTAGCCTGTACCCTCCTGCCAGGTGGCCTTCCTAAAGCACCTGTGATCCTGTAACAAATTCGGACCACGCTCCTCAGCTCGATTTTCAGGTCAGCGCCTCTTGCTCTGACCCTAACTTAACTTTCAGACCCTATGATCCTCACAAAGGGTTTGCCCTGTTTCTGGAGCTGCCCTGTTAGGGGGACACACACCCCTTCCGCTGCCTCCCCGTGACCTGCTTCTTACTGCCAGAGCCCCGCCCAGCCTCTGTGTCACCTTCCCTGTGGAGTCTCTGATCCCTGGGCTCTGGCTGGACTGGACCCACCTCCTATCAGCACTTTTCCCACTTTCCTCCTGCTGGCTGTTATCTCTTATGTGGTATTTAGATATTCTCCTTAACCCCTTCACTACTGCAAGTTCCTTGAATGTGTCTCTGTCTCTCTGTCTCTTGGTACCTAACCCAGGGCTCCACGTACAATAAGCACCTAGCAAATGTTGACTGAATTTAAATTGATGCTCAGCATTTAGATTTATAGTTTTTTCTTTTTGTGTATACTCAATAAATGAGCTTTCCCTTCTGTGTGAGGCGAGCTCACCAGAAGTCACACATTCTTTTGGTGTAGTATACTCAATTTTATGCTATTATTTAAAATGCCACGGTGACCTTCCTTTTACTTATCAATTGGTGATAGATTTAAAGGTAGAATCACTGAATTAAAGTGTAGGTGTATATTCAGTTTTGATAGATAAGACCACATTATTCTCCAAAGAGTATTTCCTTACACCATGCCAGTACTCAGTACTGCCAGTCTATAACCTTTGTCCAATCTGATGAGTAAAAGTTGGTTTTTCACTTTTTTTCCCATTAAATTCCTGTTCCCCTGATTACTAGTGAACATGGAAACCTTCGTGAATTAGTCATTTGCATTTTGTCTCCTGTGTCTTACTGATTCGCATCCTTTGTCTATTTTTCTATTGAGTTATTAGTCTTTTTTGTAATGATTGTTGGAGACGAAAGGAGAAAATGGAAATACACACTTAAGATAGAAGAACGGTTCATGTTAGGCAGTTGTGACTCTGCAGCGAGAGGTGCACTCACACTCACATGCACACTCACACACAGGCGCACACACACATGCACACACGAAGCTTATTGTCTCATCTTGACAGAGTTTTAGCTGGTGCTGATTCACATGCCAAGAGCCAATGTTCAAAGCGTCCAGCAGGACCAGGCAAGTGTCCTATGTACAGTGTTCTGCAGTGAGGGCCTCAGTGTGTCAGGTGAAAGCGAGGTGTGCATGCCTGTCAGAGCCCCCATGGTACCTATTTTCAGGAACAGCCTAATCTAGAGGGACAGAACTGTCTTCGTACCTGATTAAGTGTAGTGCTTTTCAGTCTTTGTAACCACAGAAAATTTAGGAGAGTCAGTGATTTCACAGGTTTAGGATTTTTGTTCACATGATATATTTCAGATACCGTCCATTATTTCAATCTTAAAATACTCCCCGTGTCTCCTTCTGTCTCTCTCCCTCTCCTCGCTTCTCTGCTGAGTGCAGTGGAGACTGCTTGTCTCCTGCGGTAGCATCTAATCATTTGCATGCTGTTTTTAAAGGTGCCTTATGTCAACTACTTTGAAAACTAAGTTAAAATGGATTGACTTTACTTGGTGAATGCATTAATTTTGGTAAACCCCAGAATCTATGGACTGTATACAACTCATTTGGAAATGGCTCGTTCAGTACTTTATGTACAATAGAAACTGTCTAATATGGAAGCTATCACTGACAAACACTACACAGCACTCTTGTCTCGAATTGCAAAATTGGTTCTATCTGTATTATACTGCACGTGTATCCAAAATTATACTTCAGCCCTGAGCAGGGACAGTTCCTAATAGGATGCCTTGTAGAGTGCCTGGCACATAGCAGGTGCTCAATTATTTGAATAAGTGTGTTCAATATTCATTGTTGAATTAATGTACAGTGAAGAGCTGTAACTTAGAGATGCAAACCAGTTGGAAAACTGGATATGAAAGAAAGCTTATGAAGCTTTTTAAATTGTTTAAAAATAACTTTTTCCCCACATGCGAGGACATATGTATTATGAACTTTCATGTAGGTATATGTAAACATTTGTTTACTTTCACTTTTAATTGGAAGTAAATATAAGAAGATGTACATTCTAGGGAAGCTAGTTCTCACAAAATAAAGTCATGTGTGGTTCTTCGCACATGCAATGTATTGTCTTTTCTATCTTGAAATATAATGAAGATATGGGGGTGGATATTCTGCATCCAGACACAGGGAAAAAAAAATACCATAGTTATTTGAAGACCCACCTAACTCCTCCTATTTTTCTAGGCATGTTCGCCACAGTTGCTGGGATTTCTCAGCGAGCCCCTGTGCACTGGTCGGAGAATGTGATCGGGGCTGCCATCTGCTTCCCGTATGTCATAGCACTCGATGACGAATTCATCACAGTTCACAGCATGTTGGATCAGCAGCAAAAGCAGACTCTGCCCTTTAAAGAAGGCCACATTCTACAGGATTTTGAAGGTACTTGTTTACGGAAATCCTATCAAAGCTTAGTGATCAACCTTTTTATGACTTTTCTTCTGTAAATGCTATAAAGGACCAATTAGGGACAGTACCTTAGGCTGAGCATAGCAGATACACAGATGATGGTTGTATAGACTCTGCACTTCAGGCGTTTTGTAGAATTTTCCTACATACCTACGATGGAGAGAGAGAGATTTGAACAAAGAGCTACAGCAGTTTAAGAGCTTGATAGAAATGAAATGAGGACAACGGGAGAGCAGAGGAGGAAGTACTGCCTAGAAATACAAAGGAGGGCTTCCTGAAGGAGGTGGTATTTAAACCAAACCTTTTAGAGTGAGTAGGAGTCAGCCAAGCAGAAGCGGTGTGAAAGAACCTTCAGGTGGGCAGAAAAGAGCATGTAAACCTGCGCCAGAGAGAACTCTGCACCTCGGGCTACGCAGTCAGTTCAGTGTGACAGTGGTGCACGGGGTGGGACGGTGCGGGATGCGGCTGCAGCAGACCCGGGGCGCTCAGGGAAGGCTTCCTCTTGTGTGCAGTGGTGAGCCAGGGGAGGGATTTATTTTACTTCTCCCAAATTTTATTACGAACTTTTCAATTGTACTGAAAAGTAGCAAAGCAAAGTGAACCACCACACACCATTCGCCACTCATTAACATTTGCTGAGCTGTTTGAAAGTAAGTGGAAGACATCATGACATTTAGTCTGAAATACTTCAGCATGTGTATCCTAAGAATAACAGCATTTTCCTACATAATCATAAAGTCCTTTTCACACCTCAGAAAATGAGCTCTAATATCCTGCCTGTGTTCAGATCCCCCCCAGTTGTCCTAAGAATGCCTTGGATGATAGTTTCTTGAAACCAAGAACTAATCTAGATTTATGCATTGCATTTGCCATTTAAGGATTTTAGCTCACCAAATTTTAGCTGCCCTTCCTGTTTGGATGCTGGGGATATAAACTTACAAAAACTCAGCCCTCATGTTAAGTGTGTCAGATTCCGGCTGGGGGCTCTGACACCCACCTTTTCACATTTCACAGCAGTGGTACGGAGCCGTGGATCTTGAGTGCTAGAGGCAGGTACAGGGGTCAGGAATACCTAGAGGCCAATGGAGTAACTCTTGCTAGGTAGGGACAAGGGAGGCTTCCTGGGAAAGGGGACACCAGTGCAGTGAAGGGACAGAATCTCATCTGAGTATGAGGAAAATTGCTTACCTTGGCGGTAATAATAGAAGACAGATATGAGCAGAGCAGGAAGAAGACCAGGAGGAAGTGTGATGACAATCCAGGTGAGGAGAGACGAGGGCTGGGTTAAACTAAGCAGTGGGGCTGGAGTGGAAACGATGGATCACAGGAGAGAAAAGCCCAGGGCAAGAAAGGCATGGCTGACACTGAACTATCCTTCAGACAGAAAGAAAATATCGTTTCATTGCTTCATGTGAGCATCTAACAGCTTAAAAAAGTGTCTCCAGAAGGGAGCAGGACTCACTTTAAATGCTTTGTAGTAGGAGCTCATCTTGGATTATAGGTCCAGCTCTTGGGTGGATTACTTGTGCAAAGTCCCCCCAGTGAAATGAGGGTGACAGTGCTGGCCACGGGTCAGGTTAACTCACAGCATTGTGTGGAAATGAATACGATATTTGGATGGTAGGTGAATATGAAATATTGTCTCATTGTTCAGAATGTTGCATTGTAATCTAGTTTCCTATAAACTAACTTGGAGAGAAAATAAATTTCTAAAACTTCCTTATATTTGATAATTCTTATTGATAATTTTCCATAATTGATCTCTGCAACCTCATTGGACTATATATTATGTATCTACTCAACTGATTTTAAATTTATTAGCACTTTCAAATTAAAAAAAGGCAAAAAGCACATTTTAAACTTCGGAAATATAGTATTAAGAATTCGCCCTTTTCTGAGATGTGAAAGTCTGCAAAGCAGAAAAGAGAAACGTTATAGTTTATGGCTTCTGTAGGAGTTCTGTGCTATGACAACCCTGATGAAATTGATCGGCAAATCAGGTCCATGGTCCTGTTTAGGGGAAGCAGTGTGTTTCCTTGCAGGCAGCATGTTCTTCCCCTTTCCAACAGTATCAAATTTCTTCCCAGGAAGAGTGATTGTCGCCACAAGTAAAGGAGTTTACATCTTGGTCCCATTACCTCTGGAGAAACAAATACAGGATCTTCTAGCAAGCCGCAGAGTGGAGGAGGCTTTGGTTTTAGCAAAAGGAGCCCGGAGGAACATTCCAAAGGAAAAATTTCAGGTTCGTAATTAGCCGGCCACAGAACACATTCGGGTTTAATGAACATGTCGCAGCCCCCGCCATGTGCCAGACTTTGCAGATTGCTTTTGTATCTGTACTGAATATTCTCAGCATATCCGCATCGTACAGATAAGGAAACAGGGTGCAGAGCAGCCAGATAGCTGGACTGAGGTAACACTGCTCACAGAGGCCAAGTTAGGCTTTGAAACTCTGACTTAATTTTCATGCTTAATATACCAAGTTATCTTTCTAATCCACTCTCTTCTTCAGTGGGTCATTAGAGAAAATGAGGGACGAAGTTGTCATAAACCAAAAGAGTAACATCGGGTTAGTTCGTCTTCTGATTTAGAATTTATATTTGTTGGGCAGGGGTTGAAGTTTAAAAGTTTAGATATGTAGTATCTACAGAAAAAGCTTTGTATACTGATAAACTATCTCATGTTGCAGGAATCCATCTAATTAACTTCTTTAGGAGAAAATTTTTAATGCTCTTAAGCACTAACTTTAATATACTTGGTATAATAAATATAATGGATACAATAGTCAAGAATTATTCTTAGATCTGAGGAAATCAGACTCTCTAAAAATTGCTACCTGACCAGTTGTTAGGTTAGTTCAGGTTACTCACTGCATTTGAGAGTAATAAAACAATTAGTGCATGTACGCTTCCTGTGAATATCTAAATCGATCCTTAGAAGTTCCCATGAATTAATGATCCCCTTGCTTGCTACCAGTCGATCAGATTCTCACCTATGTCATCATTGTGGAATGAAATAATGGTTTTTGGCCTCGGTTGCTTTATGCTGCTATGGGTAGATTCTGAAGGTGAAAACCCGGATATGTACTTCACGGTTATGGGGTGCAAGAGAAGGTATCTTTTCTATATTTAAATACCGAAAAACTTTTCATCTTTGTTCCTAATTTTTTAAGTAAGAACTATCTATTAGCACTCAGCAGGGGGCAGCAAAAGCAAAAAGAAGAAATCCTTCGTTCAGAGCCCGTGGTGCTGAGAGCAGCGTTTTCCTTACCCCTTAGGCTGGTCTGGTGGCCATACCGAGAAGGTGCTTCTGGGATCAGACCACAGTGGGGTGTGAGACCTGCCTCTGCCCGGCTTGCTCTCAGCTCCTCTCTGCTCCTGTAACATGGAGCCCCATGAGCTGCTGTCCGTGGACAGGTTGGATGTCTAGATGGGCCACATGTTGGGGTGCCCCCTCCTTGTAAACACACGTGCACACTTTAAGTGTGTAACTTTTTTAAAGATGCTTTCAATGTTCTTTGTCTACCTTTGGCTCTTTCTCCTCTCTTTTTGCTGAGAGTAGAAATATGCAGTCAATAGCAGAGAATGTTAGGAGTCATGCTCTTTAATTTGCTGGCTCAGTGGGAGCTTTTTCCTTTCTAACATGCTCTCTGCCTTCTCTCTGTTACTGGAAACAGATGTATCCAGCCCTGGAAACACACCCTCAGAATGATCTCGAATTCAGCCGTTATTCTCAGTGCCCATTTTTCTGCTGGTGTGCAGACCCTTATCCTATTTGGCCTGAATGATATCAAAGCCTCCCTTATATGTGTCATTTGTTTTCATTTGACTTTTGTTTTATAGGAATTGCTTTTTAAATTTTGTTTTATAATTATGTAAAGTATTTACATAATTCAGAAGTCCAATCAACAAAGCAAAGCCGTATACTCAGTGAAGCCTAAATTCCTTCTCTCCTTTTACCCTAATGTTTTCTCCCTCCCTCAACCTCTCTTCCGCCTTCTCTGTCTTTTTTTGGTGTGACCGTCAGTATTTTTGGTCTAGTGGTTACCGTAATAGTATTAACTTCATAAAAGTCCTTTGGTTTTCTTTTTTTCTTTTCTTTTTTTTTCTGCTGGGGGAGGGGGGACTCTTGTTTGTTGGTTCCCCAGTTGGAGCAATATTTGAAATTAGCTAGTAACCTTATTTTTCCCTTTTCCTTCTTTTCCCCGGTATTCACATTAAAGTAATATACTCATAAGGCAGTCGGCAAGTGTATTGTACTTTTTATGTAATCTCCCCACTCTGTTTTTTCAATAGTTGTATTGCCTCCTCTTTTTCAGAGCCCATAGTCATCACATACTATACTGTCTCCCTGATATTGATCAGTCTTAGTTCTATAGGCAAATGTGTTTTGAATGCTCACCAACAAATTTTATGTTGCTGACCTTCCAGTCAGGTGGCTTTCTGAAGCAGTCCTCTGGCAGGTATTTCAGGAGCGGCATCCGGGAACACTGCCCTCGAGTTTTTACATATTGATAACAGTTTATCTGCAGCTTTTATACTTGAAGGCAGGTTTGGCTGGATATAAAATCTCTGACTCACGTTATCTTTCAATGAAAAACTTAAATAAGTTCCATCATTATCTTTTGGCATAAAGCGTTTCTAATCAAAAATCTAATGAGGGTCTGAATTTTTTTTTCTTGTAACGACTTGGTCATTTTGTTTGAATGCCTAAAAGACTTTGTCTTTAAAGTCCAGTTTCTCAGGGTTGACACTTACCAGCAAATTGGAGCCCGAGAAGTCCCCTTCCACTTTCCACTGCTAGTCTCGAATGCCCTGCCAAGCTTTCTAGTGGTTCCTGATAGCAATTTGAGGATGCTGGCTTCTAGCTGTCATGGCCTCATGGCCCCTTTTTCCTCTCTGCACTTCTTCCCACAGTTTCTAATACCACGCAGGTCCTGGAGTTGTTGGTTTGTCCCCAGTAGCTCGTACTTTTCGGTTTGTGGGCATGCCTTGTCACTTAGTATTGTTATAAATGTTTTCAGTGAGTTTTTGGTTTCTATCTCAATTGTTTGTTTGTTTGTTTTTCACTTGTGGTAAAATACACATAACATAAAATTTATTATCTTAACCATTCTTAAGTGTACAGGACATCATTTTTCCTCCTAAAAGCAGCCAGTGTTACTGTTTCCTAGTGTTTCTTTCTCAAGAGTTTGGACCACTATTTTGGTAAATTGTATTATGCATCCTCCCTCTTTTCTTACCTCTCTCTGCTCCTGCTGGCCTTCACCATCCTCACCTTTGGAACTGACCACTTTTCCTGCCCTGCATGTGTCCATTGCACGGCTTCCTTCCCGAACAGGCCTTCCCAGCTCGAGTTTCACTGAGCCCGCACTCTCAGATGGTTACAGGTGCAGAGAGGGAAACGGTTCTGTTTTACACATATAAATTAATTGAGTTTCTTAATTGGAGAAATTCTTAAGGCCTTTAATATACTAAAAGTTATTGTGATCCATAAAAGGGCATATAGCACATATTATATTTTTGTTATCCTTCTGTGAATTCTCAAGAGAGAATATATGTAAAATGCATTATTTTATATGTGATGTATCTGTGTATTATATAAATACATGCACATATAGATACACAGCATGTAGGTACATTATATATATTTACATATCAACATTTACACATACACACATCTGTTTCCAAATTTATTCAGTCACGATGGATTGCCTTTTTAAAAGGAGAATGTCATAGTTCACCTAATACATTTTGAGAAAGTTATTTCTATTTAGGAAATAACTAAGTAAGAGTTTTTCAATAAGTTAAAAAAAAAAACCAAAGTATTCATTAGAGGGAAAGTTATGAATACAGTTAAAAGTATAACATTCATACCAATTTTTGTTGGAAATGTTGGCTGTACTTATTTTCCAGGAATGATACTTATATACCTTATGTCTCAAGTCCTCTTGGTGTTTTAGGGCATTGCAACCTGAATCTTAATTGTTAGTTCCACGTCAAGAGTAACGAAATTTACCATCTTAACCATTTTTAAGTGTACAGTTCAGTGGCATTCTATACATGCACATTGTAGTGCAACCATCACCGTCATCCTTCTCCAGAATTGCTTCATCTTCCCAAATGGAAGCCCTGTCTCCATTTCACACTAACTTCCCATCTCTCCTCCCCCAGCCCCTGGCAGCCACCATTCTACTTTCTGTCTCTCCGAATGTAAGTACTCTAGGGACCTCGTATAAGTGGAATCATACAGTCTTTGTCCTTTCATGTCTGGCTTATTCGCCCAGCATAACATCCTAAAGGTTCACCCTTGTAGCGTGTGTCAGAATTTCTTTTCTTTTTAAAGCTGAATAATCCATTCGTTGAGCAGTTCGACATTTCATTTAAGCAGTGCATTTTAAGGAAGAGCCATAAACAAGATACACTTGAATTTAGTGCTAGAAAGGACTGTTCTTTCCAGAAGCCCTTGTATGACATTTAACTTAGACAATACAATGCAGCCTTGAAAGTAGGTTTAGAAATCTTTAAAATAGAATCTTCTGTTTCACAAAATTTCCAGTTCCACAAGTCACAAAAATCAGAAATCTCAATTCAGAAACATGATACTAAAAACATACATTCTGACTTCAGTTTCGTGTTGCTCCCAGAACACATGCGACCTCTTCTCCTGGCCGGTGTTGGGCCCTCTGCCTTTGTGCAGAGTAGATATGGAGTGGCACCACTTAGAGGTCTAATTTCCTCTCTCCACCCAGGAATTTATAGCCACCTTACACTGAAGGACAAACTAACAAGGTAAAAAGAAAGCTGAAGATTCCATTGGTGAGTTAGCTCTGGTGCTGGGGAGCTAAACAGACTTTCCTGTCCTTTCTCCTCATGGAGGCATTCTTCTTGTCCTTTTCCTGCTGGCCGACCTGGCTCCGTGTTTTGTAGCTCAGCATCACCTGAGCAGGAGGAGTTATCAGTCAGAGTGGACAGTCTGGAAAGGAGACAGTCACTGTCAGAGAAGCAAGAATTGGTTGTGCTTGGTAAAATTTCTTATCAAATGTGTGTAGGTCAAGTTCATTGGTGTTCTCTATATCATCCATGGTTTCAGCATCAAGGTGCTTATGTCCAGGATGAAGGAATCTCTTTGTATGCTTTTTCCAAGTCTACATATGGCATTCCCAGACTAGAATACAGAAAATAACCCCCATATTCTTGGGGATTGGGAGTATTAGCAAAAGTAGTTTTTATATCCCCTTAGGGGTAGAGTATATGACTTCTAAATCCTGCCATGAGGAATAAATTGTTATTCAGGTGATTTCTCATCAACAAGCCTGGATGTGATTGAGAATTTTTCTACTGCAGCTGATGGGTCCTCTCTATCCTTTTTGCTAAGTGGTGACCTTTATTTCTACTTTTGGAAATAGAACTGGCATTCCCCCACAACAGAACTTTGGCCCACTCCTGGCTGCTTAATGTTGGGCAGTATAAATAAGCCAGTTTGGAGTCAGAAGTGGCTGGTATCGGGGAAGGAAGATAAAGGCAGGTGGTGAGCAGAAAAGTGGAAAGGCAGCCTGCCTTTTCTGACTTCTCTAAAGGAATTTCCGTGGGCACAGGCATGAAATGCTATGCTTTTGAGAACTCTTTATAGAGCAATGGGGAACAGGAGTGACAGCCTTCAGGTGCCAACCGTGTGCACTCTGCTCGTTTCTTCAGTGGTGTTACCTGCCTGCTGCGCACTGGGTAAATCAGTGAGTGGAAAGAATTGGGCTCTAGAATCAGAAACATCTGGTTTTAAATCCTGGCTCAACCACTTATTACTTTAGTGACTTTGAGCCAACAACTTAACATCTTTGAGCAGAATGTTCTTATTTGTAAATGGGGATAATAAATGACAATGAAAATGGAGTGTCACAAAAATTGATCAGATATTTCTTCAGATCAATAAGCACTTACCAGACGGCAAAGACTATGCCAGGACTGTGGAGTACTAGTGTATGTGGATAACGTATGTGCCCTGCCTTCAAGGAACATGTGGCTTCCAGAACAGCATGATGGACTGGAAGGTGAAGGAACTGCAGTCATAGAGTTTTTAACTGTGAGGTGACAAGGGCCTGAGCTATGATGGTGGAACCAGTAAGAATAGCGCGAAGAGACGAGTCCAAAAGCTGTTTCAGACAAAGGATGGACAAAACTTGAACAGTGACCAAACTGGGCCATATTGGAGGTGTAGGGGGTGGAATTAAAGTCACCACAAGACAACTTCCTAAAGTGTGTTTTGCTGTTACTGAGTGTCATAAGAACAAAGGGGCTCTGTGGTCGAGAAAGTTTGGGTAGTACTGAATTAAGCAAAGACAAGCTGGTACCTTTATTACAAGGATTCCCAGGTGTCACGTGTTCGTGTGGGTTGTGCATCACCCGCAGGAGAGAGAATACACAGCACTTCTCCAGTGTTACTTGGAAAAGCTTATTTGTCTATCTATTAATATATTAAATGGTACGGCCTTGTGCTCTGAGGGACACTCAGAAATGCTGCCGTGACGTGCCAATTCCCGTCGAGCGGAAGAAGGCTGAACAGCTTCTGGACTGTCAGAAATATTGACACCTGCGAGTTTATGAGGAGGAGAGCAGAAGATAAGGAATGCGTTGGGAAGGACTGGGGTTCATAAAGAAGCATCCATGAAGAAGCAGGAATAGTTAAAAAGAAAACTTCGTTTTAAGAAAGAAAGGTTGATTTACATATATACACAAACACACACACACATATATATTTGTATATATTGAAACTAATTTCATATATGCATTATTTTTTCTTTACCTTGTGACTTCAAATTTCTTCATCATAATAAGCATTTAGTTTGGGTTATGATTAGAAATTCAGTTTCTCCCTATTGTGATGGTTTCAGGGTATCTGTAAGAGATTAAACCTGTCTTTCTTTACAGGTAATGTACAGAAGGATTCTGCAGCAGGCGGGTTTTATACAGTTTGCACAACTTCAGTTCCTGGAAGCTAAAGAGCTCTTCAGGTAATTTGAGGTGTTGGTAGCAAGACTTCGAAGTGTCCCTCTGTGGTCAGAACCTCCCTTCCAGCTGCGATGCTGTGATGGGAGGTGCAGCTGTGGTTAGACTGTGCTTCTGGTGAGAATGGTGAGGCCTGTTTATAATAGCAGACGCCACTGGTGCTCATGCCTTGTCTCCTCCTCCCCCCTCAGCCTTAGTTTAACTGTCCTTTATCTTAAAGAGCATGGGGGCCATCATGACAGTCCAGGGAAGAGAGGAGCGGGAATTCTAGAGAGTGAATTTGATAACATGCGAAGGATTTTTAGGAAAATACTCTTGTTCATTTTTCCTTTTCTCGAGATTTTACCAGAAGCTATGAGTTTAGAAAAAGAGCAGGTGCTTCTGGGAAGACTTATGAAAACGAATTGTCTTCTAAAGACTTTGTAGATGGCCCATTGATGGTTAGCTCTCCCAGGAAGCTGTCTTTCTCTTACAGAGCTCCCCTGGCACTATGAGTAACCCTGCACCCAGGGCCGTCTCGCCCTCTCCTCCACCCCCCTCACCCATGCCTGCGTCACACGCCTTTGCTGTCATACCCATTTTCCCAGCTGCATGTCCTCTCAGGCTGGCGTACTCAGCGAGGCAGTGGTTGTGAACATGCTGGCTCAGCACGCCTGGCAGATTAGGTTAAACGTGCCTTGATAGTCTTAAGCATCCTACAAAAGCATTGCCTATGGAATGTTTTCAAAATGTCTGACTAGCATAGATTCTGCACAGTTTGGAGCCATCTAAAAGATAAGAGATGTAACAAGCGGAGCAGGACACCACCCTGCAGCTTGCTGTCCACCCTCTGTTCTGGAGGGTATTTGCCACATGGCCCGGGCCACACTGACACCCACCGCAGCTCCTGCCTCTTGCTCTGTCACAAAACTGGTTGTAGAGAAGAGATTTCTGAGTCAAGAAGGAATTATGTATTGGATCATGATGCCCTGTAGAACTTTTACTTAAGCAAGTTCTCCGTACTGTTACCATCTGTTCATGGAAAGATCAGAAGCATCAGGATTAAATAGATTCTTTGTCCCTTTGAACTGAGGCTCTTTTCTGTCATATCTTGTCTTATCCCTGCAATGTCGAAGGCCTCCGCACTTGGGTCATGGGTGTCTCCCAGTACATCTTCTTCTCACAGGTTAATTTGAAGAGCTAAGTGGTCAGTAACTTTGTAAGAGAATAAATGTAGGGCCTGTCAGTTGTTCGTACAAGGATCTGGTACTTCATATGTCACACTCTTAAGAGAGATAAACTTTAACTTGACTGCTGCTCAGCTTTAGTCAAAAGTGTGACTGAGAAATTGATATTTGAAGGGATGCTCCTAAGATAAACATGATACCACTTTCCCTTTCAGTGCCATTGGTGGACATTGCTAATAACTCATGATTTTTTTTTTTTTCCCATTGATCAGGGACTTGCCTCAGACTCCTATTCAGTCCGATGCTAGAAGCCACAACTGCCAACTCATCGTGGTTGGCATCCAAGATAGAACCTATTTACCATCCGTGTCGTGGAGACATATGCTGTGTGTCTAGTCTTCCGGGAGTTATGTGGCCTGTCCTTATATCCAGTCAGAGCCAACCCTTCTTCCATTGAGCAGATTTGGCCTGAGCATGAGAGCTAGGATGAAAGGGTAGGACAGCACCCCTGCTCGGTGCACATGCCCGCTCTGCAGTGTGAGTGGTTTGAGGTGGGAGCGTTGAACACAGACTTATATTGGGATTTGTCCTGGACCTTAAATGATGAGAAGTTTCCCAAATCAGGAATCATACCTTAGGCCAGGGTTTCTCAGCTGTGGCACTGTTGGCATTTGAGCATAAGTGATCCTTTGTTAGGTGAGCTCTCTCGTGTACTGTCGGACATGTAGCAGCAACCCTGGCCTCTACCCACTAGGTGCCAATGGTGCCCTCCAGGTCTGACAAAAGTGTCTGCATAGTCGCCAAATATCCCCCAGGGAGCAAAACTGCTTCCCATTGCAAACCAGCTGCTCTTGGCAAAGGGAACAGTGACAGCGAAGGCTAAGAAGCATGAAATGTGGGAACAGGGGGGAAGAGTGATGGGCGCTGAGTGCTGGAGTGCGGGAGAGAGACACGGGAAACAGCAGCTGTCATGTGCTTCGGGTCAGTTCGGGCAGGGTCTGGAGTACCATGCTAAGAACTGTATCCTGTGGATAGTAAGGAACCACAGAGTGAGGACAGGGTAAGGGGCAGGTTAAGAGCAGGGTGGAAAGGAGACTAGTGGCAAGAAGCCGGGAGAGTGGGGCAGAGACAAGAGAGCGTAAAGAGAGGCAGATGCAGAAGGTGCAGACCCCGGGCTCTGCCTCAGAGCCTTCTATTTGGTGTGTCTGCTGGAGGCTCCTGCTCTGTTTGCTCAGGATAGTTCCCACAGGCGGGTCTGAGCCTGTACCGGGGTTGAGATCCTCAGCTCGGTGGTGCTGCCATTAACAGTTGTGATTGTAGACAGGACAGCGGGCTGGAGGGAGGACGTGCAAGAGGGACCAGCAGGGAAGGAGAGATGGGACCTCAGTAGATATGACCTCCTGGGCCTTATGAGGTTAGGACACTGTGCCAGCCGTTTGAATTGCAGGCTAACTTTAAGCTCTGAAACGCTATCAATAGTCATTCCAGAAATGGCCACATGGATGCTCTGTGTCTTCTGTTACAAGATCATTGATGAGGAAATTGTAAGTTATGTTCCTATAAAGTCCCTTCTTTATGGACTATTCAATCAATCTGTCTATAATTTAGTGCCAGGGAAAACATTGGTTTCAGAAGGACTGTAATCTGCCTTTGATCAGATGGTGATGTTTTGCTTCCTTTGAGTTTCTTTGCCCTGGTGTCCAGGGAGCCCAGTGCTGACTTAGTGTCCAGACGTTTTGATATTCCGCTTTCACACTGATTGTGCACTTGTCTTTCACCATGGTGCCCTCACTCTGTTTTGGAATTGGAGCGGCACACAGTTCAGTAGTGCTCTGCCACACTTATCGATGAGGATGGTCAGTCTGGCGTGCACACCCAGATACCCAGCTCACTGTTGACGTGTGCGGACGTGCACACCCCTTCAGTGTTGTTTTGTGTGCCTATGTGTACTCTCTCTCTCTTTTTGCTTCATTTAGTTTGACACTGTAATTGCAGAAGCGGCCAGCTTGACGTCCGGGAGCTGATCTCTCTCTACCCCTTCCTGTTGCCCACCTCCTCTTCATTCACACGGTCTCACCCTCCTCTTCACGAGTATGCAGACCTGAACCAGCTGACCCAGGGGGACCAGGAGAAGATGGCCAAGTGCAAGCGCTTCCTCATGAGCTACTTGAACGAAGTCCGCAGCACAGAAGTAGCCAACGGCTACAAAGAAGATATTGACACAGCCTTGCTGAAGCTGTACGCAGAAGCCGATCATGACAGCCTACTGGACCTCCTGGTCACTGAGAACTCCTGTCTCCTGATAGACAGCGCTGCCTGGCTGGAAAAGCACAAAAAGTGAGTGTTTGCTTCCCGTGCTCAACCAGGGGCTCATGCCTGGCCCTTCCCCGCCCAGTGGAGAGACATGAAGTTGATGGAACCCATGTGTTTCAGTTCCCAAGAGACTGATCAAAGGACTACCTTGAAATCAGAGTGACAAGCCAGCGCTCCCAAGGTTACCTCACCCTCAAAATGGTCTGCAGACCAACTGGAGGGTCTGGGAGCGGGGGGTAGGGGGGGCGGACATTAACTCTCATACCTTTAACTCTTTAACGATAGAGAATAGAGCTAGTCCCAGGCCTTGTTAGTAAATGAAGTGATTCTTACGTTTCCTCCACATTCCATCTGGGGTTCACATGCGGACGACACCACATGTACATGGGTACAATTAACAGGGCACTTAGCCACTGATGACCAAATTGAGCAGATAGACAGACATGTGGATAAATAGATAAGGGGATGAGGGAGCTTCTTGATCTTGTTAATAAAAGGTTACAGCTTAAAACTCTGTCTTCATTATGTGCATGAGTTGGTAGGCGGCCGCCCCATGCTTTACGCACCAGGGCAGTTAAACTGCAGTGACGGACTCGATCAGAGTCGGCAGCTTCCTCCTCCAGGGCAGGTGGGCAGGTGGTCAAAACTTTCGGAGCCTCAGGGTTCTTTCTTTAAAAAAATGTTGGGTGACCTTGAACTCCATTAAGCAATAAGAGTCTTTGTCTATGATTTTTGTTATGTATTTGGATTGGCGAAAGTACTGAAGAAACCCTGCAGGGACTATGGCGGTTACATCGCCTGATCCCATTCAGACGCCGAACAGGAAAATGCACTGACGCCTCATGGTAACGACTTGGGATGTTAGGATCCGGGGAGTCAGTGTGACTTTCTGAAACGTAAAGGAAAAGAGAAGGGTCTCAGCAAACAGTTTGATGTCTTGAGAGTTTGCTCTTTGCAGGAAGAAATCCGACACTCCCTGGGTCACCTGTTGGGAAGGAGGAGGGCCAGGAGTAGGACATACTTGCACAACTTGAGAGAGTGGGGACGGCTCACTGCCCAGGCAATTCCAACGTCATTGCTAATCCTTTACCACTTATAAATGAGGAAACGGAGGCCCAAGGAAGGTAATCTACTTGATCAAGGTCATATAGGTCATAAGCAATGAAGCCGGAATTGAAACTCATGTCCTTGAACTCTGGGTGGCCTTGCCCAGGGCTCCCTCTGACGTTCCCTTCTCTGCGATGCCTGGATACTGCTGTCCTTTATTGCTGTTTTGTCCAGACTCCTTACCCCTTCTTTCAATAATAGCTCAGACAACATACCTTCTGAGTGGTCTTTTAATGTTGGGTTAATAATAGCCAACTGAAGAGAGATGAAATTATATAACATTTGATGCGCATCATAAGGTAATTCCAAATGTGAGTTCTGGTAGTATAATCACAGTTTTATTTGTCAGCTGATCTTGGGCTTTAATATGACCCTTTTTGGAGATTGATAGGGCACGCATTTTAATAGCATAAGTAAATAATCAGAAACGAAGATCCTTTTGTTGTTCGAAATTTGTTATTGAACTCTGAGTTGAAAAGAATATGGGCCAGGGAGGAGGGGTGGGAAAGGGTCAAGGGGTGTTGCTATGGTGGTGCTGCCTACAGGAGGTGGTGGGTACCAGGGTCATTCACCACACTGTTTTCTTCCAGGTACTTTGCACTCGGACTGCTCTATCATTATAATAACCAGGATGCGGCTGCAGTGGAGGTTAGTTCAAAAGCATTTTAGCCTTAATGTAAAGATCAGTACTGTTTAACTTAGTGTTACTTAAAAATTAAATCACAAAGTGATAGAGGCCACTTCTGCCTGATCTATAACCTTTGTTACAGGACAAAATTAATACTGTTTTTAGAAAATGAATTTCTTGAGAAATGTTGGCCATGAGTTTATTTTTTCTTTGTCCTTACATCTCTGTAAAGAACATTTTCAAGATTGAGTTTTTGAAAATCTAAGAAATAAAAATATGATTTCTTATTGCGGCACAAGGCATAGGACGTCTCTGCCTTATCAGAAAGTTAAAACTGGGACTAACAAACAGTTTGTTTATAATTTCCCATTAATGTTAATACATTTATGATATTAATAACTGTTAATGACAATAACTGTTGCCAGTGAGCTGGATCAGTTATTATCCCCATGTCATCTGCGACAAAACTAAAGCTGATCAAGGCTTGTCACTTAGCCGGGGTCATCCCACTGGTCGTTAGTAGAGCTGGGATTTGAACCAGTGTTCTAGGTGGCCCTGGCGGGGATGCCAAGCCTGAATGGACATGATCCTGAGGTTAGTCTTGTCTCTTGTCGTGCACCTGACATGTGACTGATTTTATCTCATTCTCAGGAGACTGTCTTCCATCTGTTAGTTGTCATATGCTGGTACCATTTTTATCGTGCCTTCCTCATGTGCCTGTTGTTTCATTTTGTTTTGTTTTGTGAACGGCAAAGACTATCCTCAGTACTTACCAAGCCAAAGTCAACTTTGTGACTGGCAAAGCCACACATGTATTTAGTTAAATCATTATAGTAACATCATTGTAAAATTGGTTTTAAAAAATGGGTTTCCATCAACAGGCACCCAATGGCTATGAGTAGATTTGGATGTGAAAGATAAAACTTTTACTTTTTACATCATATAATTCTAAGAATTGCAGCTTAATGCAAGTATAATAATATTAGCAGAAGTATATATAAAGATTTGCAAAATTGAAATAATATGAAAGAAATCTCCATATATGGCAGAATTCTATTTTTAAAAAATGACACATTTCAATGTATGTGTGATTTGGTTTGGGGCGTTCGGTGCTGAAGAAACTCGTACCATAAACAGTGTTGATGTGCTGATACCAGAATTGCAGAGTTTATGCTGCCTGCCCTGTTTCGTGGGCTTCTTGCTGGTGATGCAGTTCAGAAGTGCAGCCTCCATCTCCTCTGCCTCCCTTGTGATACCATCTCATTCTGGGGTTCTGAAAGTAAGCTTCAGCTAACACTGCAGGGAAGCTTCTGTATGAATGGCAGAGGCCTTTGATTACTAGGCCTTTGATTACTTTGAGCCCATGTGTAAAAGAACATCAGAACACTAGGGGACAGAATCACTAAAGTCTTTAAAAGCAAAGTATTTGACTATCACAGTCGCAAAGGACTTCAAAATCAAGAAATCCTGTGATAGAGAAGGTGGAAACAGCCTAGTTGATGGATGTAGGTGAATTTCTCCTGTGGTGAGATGTTTTCAGTAATCGTTTTGTTTATTTCACAAAGAAACGTTTTTAATACACCCACCTCTTCCTATACATTATCTTTACTATTTGTGTTACTGTGATATCATTAAAAAGGAAAGAAAAAGAATCTGGTGCTTTATTTTCTCTATTTCTTGGGCCATGTCTTCCACATTTCTTTAGTTCTCTGAAAAAAAATTAAAATTGATTTAAGCATTTAAATTCTGTCCTACTACTTTTAAGTATCAAAAGGCCAAGTACGTAAACATGTGCCCTTTCTCGGCTGACTAAAGGGTATGTGACCTGCTGTCCGTTTTATTGCTGCTCCTCTCCAGCTGTGGGTGAACATCGTGAATGGGGCCATCCACGACTTGACTCGCGCAGACCTGTACGAGTATGTCGTTGATTTCCTTACCTACAGCTCCAACCAAGAACTAGTGTGGAAGTATGCCGACTGGGTCTTACAGAAGAGTGAGGAGGTTTGTGCTTCATAAGTGTATTCTCTTGGGGAGGGGGCTGGTAGAAACAGATAAAACCCTGAAAAAAGCTGATAAAACTATGCAGTTGATAAAACTACGCTTCAGCCTCTCTATCTGCTTTCTTTGCTCCTTTAAAATGTCCCTTCAAGCCATCTGAATCCCAGCTTTTAGGAAAGTTTGAGGTTTCGGTGCTTCTGAGACACACTGTTCAGCATCCTGACTGGGACAGACCACTTTTGTAGAAAAGCAAGAAGCATAGCCGGGCCCCATTCTTAACATCTTAAAAACGTGTGTTTGTGAACCGCCACCCCTAAGTCTGGCACTTCTGTTCTCTATGGGCTGGAGCAGGATCAGATGGTTGCCATGCAGGGCTGGGCACCAGGCCTGGGCCACACCAGGCAAACCGATGCCCTGTGTATCATGCTTAGGATGGAGGGAGAGAAGCCCCAGAGATGACTGGGAGTGAGGGAGCATTTCCGTTCTCACTGTTAAAAACGTCTCCATTTCTTTGGCTTCCCTTGGAGGGACACAGTAGCTTCCTGGCAGGACCTTGGTCATAAATGTCGAGTCTCTGTGTGTCGCATTCACTGTTCTAAAATCTGAGTTGGAAAATATTCTCCATGGGGCTGTTGTAACTGGGAGGTCAGAGCCCGTGTGCTTCATGTACGTTTTACTCCATCTTTACTTTGCCTCTATGCACATGCATGGACAGCTTGCCCTGAAGGTGCTCACGCGCCCCTGCAATGCAGATCCGATGCTGTTGAAAGCTTTGGTCACTTCCCAGTGCTAGTGGATGATAACATCACATCAGGCACAGAATCCTTTGTCCCTGATAGTGTGCCAGTCCCTTGACACATGTCGTCTCTTTTAAACATTGCAACACCCCAGCAGGGTGTATATTTATAGATGAGGAAACTGAAGCTCAGAGAGCTTAAGGAACTTTCCCAAGAGCATAGCATACAGTTGCTAGAGCTGTGCTAGGCTGCTTTTCTCATATTTTGGGTTTGTGGTGTGCACACTTGTGTGTGTGTGTATTTGAGCATGCACACATAAGTGCCCAGAGGAGGTGCAGGATGGACTTACTTCCCTACTTGCCTCATTAGCATTTCCTTGGAAGGTAGAATTGTGCAGTGAGTGCCATTAGACAGGCACAGGGCGGTGGCCTGGGAACTTGTCAGGGACTGGTGTGGCTCTCACAGAGTAGGCCTCAGTGTTGGGAGAACCGAGTTTACTGAGTGTTCAGCACATTATTTTTTCACATACTATTCAGCAAGTGACCGTCCGTGTTTTGGAGTGATCTAAGTATTATAAACTTTTGCTTCGTGGGTTGTCGAAACTTGCTACCAATAAATGCTTCATTCTTTTATTTCCAACCATTTAAAAAATAATTCACCCAGATGTGTGAGGAAAGTTTCAGAGCTTAGCCGCCTTTCCCATCTTTGCTATATGCTCTTCAGTCTCTGTCGATGTTTCATGCTGCACTATTTTTCTGTATTGTCATATTTTTGACAGTGGTTTTGCCCGAAGCATGAATATATAGTACTCAGAATAAAGATAAGACAGTGACTTTGAAAAGCATACTAACTCAATCTCTGCTCTTCTTTTAGGTTGGAGTTCAAGTTTTCACCAAGAGACCTTTGGACGAACAGCAGAAGAACAGTTTCAATCCAGATGACGTTCTCACTTGCCTACAGAAATACCCTAAGGCCCTTGTTAAATATCTGGAACATCTAGTTACAGACAGGGGGCTGCAGGTGAGCCCTTCAGAACTTAGACTGAGCTGTGGGGGCTGCCATGTCACGGTACTAACTTAGAGATGGAATCCGACCATACGTAATGTTTTGTGCTCCCCGGAGGCTCAGCCTCTACTTGTTGATCTGCAGAGGAACTGGCAGTTCGGGAAAGTGATGGGAGGAATAGCTTTTCTTTAAACCCCCCCCACTCCATTTCATGTCCACTCCATTTATATTTTTCTTCTCTATTCCTTCCTTGTTATTTTTCTTAAAGGAAATAAGAGAAGCTGCCCCTTTTTGGAGAATATTTAAATCCTGTGGCCCATACTTCTCAAAACGAGAAGTAACCCTTTTATTTTTTTCTCTGTAGATTTTAAATTCACCTTCTCTGTATTGTGGTTTCTGAACGGTTTTCAGTCCAACAAACGTGTTCTGTTAACTGTCCTTGAGAATCCGCCCAGAAACCCTCAGCACGGTTTGGGCCTCAGCGCACATGCTGACCAGGGAGCCCTCTGCACTTCCCATTTGCCAACGCTGTGTCTGCTTGGACCCTGTTTCCTGCAGCGGGAAGAGTACCACACGCACTTAGCTGTCCTCTACCTGGATGAGGTGCTGCAGCACAAGCCCGGCGCCAGCGGCAGGGGTGCAGAGGTGACCGAGACACAGGCGAAGCTACGACGCCTGCTCCAGAAATCCGATTTATACAGAGTCCACTTCCTGATAGGTGAGGAGGATCCTGACAGTTTCTCCATCGATATTTCTGCTGGGTGATGGGGAGCGCACGGGGAGCGGGAAGCAGCGGGGCTTCAGCATAGCTCCTTGTTTTGATTCCGTGGATGATCCCTGGAGCCTCTTTTGGCACAAAGGCAGCCTGTCTAGAGGGTCGGGTGAAGCTTCTCATGCCTCCCCGTCTCCAGGGAGACAGTGGCCCTTTACCCACATCTGATTCTCGTTATTCACAGTAGCCAATGTCTCCACAAACACTGAATCAGTGACTGTTAGACACACACCTGGAGAAATACAGGGTTAGTGTCCTGCATGGTGTCCTGAGGAACACCATGTTCCTCAATCGATTAGTACATAACCTTGTTTTATGAGTGTTTCTGTTTAAAGACACCTTATTGAATATTAGTTAATTCAGTACCATTGAACTCACAAGCAACAGCACTGTAGCTCAGGCCTGATCGATGTTCACCTGACACATGCGTTTTCTCCATAAGCCTTTCTGAGCTTACAGACACTAGCCAGCACCTCAGCACTGTGCTTGGGAGCCATTTTAAATGCTGAGATCACCAGTAGAAAAGCACAAATGTGCAAAACCGTGGCACTAAGCAGGCCATGAGAAGGACACATGCTTACCCTGCAGGAGCTGCAACGAGAAAGCAGAGCATCACCTTGTTTGACCTCAGCCGGGAACGTGCCTATCGGGTGACCCAGGTTTTTTTGCCACTCTGTGCAAGTCCACAGATGGCCACAAAAGCAACACAAGTATCAGTTCTGGAGTTACAGTAAATTTTGGCAAGAAAGCAAACTGGCAAATACAGGGTGTGAATAGTAGGGACCCACTGTATAGGTATAGGTCGAAATGCTTAGTTAGCATTTTGATGCTTATTCCCACAAGCCTATGAAATAAGTCCTATTACTTGTATTTTTATAGACAAGTAAACTGAAACTTAGAGAAATCACTCAGTCTTCTCCAAGTCACACGGCTCCTGAGCATGAACTGGGTTGAAGTTTAATGTGAATAGCCAATACTAGGTCTAGCTGGCACTTAACATTCAGCCACACTGGTCGCTCACAGCTGCTGTTGGTTGTCCAACATTTTTTATTGTCACCCTGATTTGTTTCATACTTTATGCTTTACCAACATTTTTTATAAAAATCTTATGCTAGTCATGAGTTTGTCGATGAATATTTTCATCGAGCCACCTTTTTTGAGCATGTATAGATTGCCTTAGACATGCACCAAGGATATAAAGATAGATATGACTCGGTTCTTGTCTTCAGTTTAACCAGAGGACTGGTAGAAGCTCCACATGGGGCTGAGGGAACAGCGAGCTATGCCTTGGGGGGAGGGGCAGGGAGAGCCTCCTAGACAGGGTCCCATTTTAACAGTCATAGAGGGTAAATCTGAGCTCACAGGACAGACCCGGGAGCTTACAGGAAGTGGGGCGTCCCCAGGGCGCCGTGGAGGAGCACTGCAACTCAGAGACTAATTCTACCCTTGTTTAGTCAGGTGACTTGGGGAATGAGGTGTCTGTCTGGGCACATTGCAGTAACGGTTCCTGCCAAGCCTACCTACTCAAGGCGGCTGTGAGAATCAAATATAAATGAGACGACAGAGGTGAAAAGTGTAGATCACTTCGGTGACCTCTTAACCAACATTGTACCTCTCCCTGTGCCTTAAATGTGGTATTCACTTAGTAATTATTTGTTGGCAGTTCTTTGTGAGGTTGGTGACGATGCATGTCGCAGCTTCTGTGTCTGGTGCTGTCGATGACATATGTTGAAGAGCCAGCTCTTGGCTGCGGAACTAGTGGTGTCTGCCATGTGTATGCATCAAGCCAGAGGTGGCCAAACTTCAATGCTAAATACCTATGATGGGAGTATTAACCTTGGCCCTTGAAATGGAAGTTTTCCTTGGAATATCCCATCACAGCAGGAAGAGATCTTATGTTATCTTCCTATTCTACAAGGAGTGAGGCACAAAGGGACTTGACTAATGAGACGCAGCCCATGAAGCACAGGGCCTTGGGCAGCACTGATGTTCCCTCTGCTGGTATCATTTTACTTTTAACCTGGAAACTTAAATTGCAAAAGAAACAAAAGAAAATGTTAGACTGATATAGGTATGGGTTTTTAACAATATGAACCCATATTCTGTTCCATGAAATATATTTCAAATTGGAATGAAGGGGTTCGGCACACTTTCTGGGATGGGACAGTATTGTCTGGATCAAGGGAATATGGTGACTTTCTGCTTTAGTGAAAAGGTCCCTAAGAGGGAAAATAGGAATGACATGGATTAACTGGAGACCTGGCACTGTGATACTCTGAGTGTCGCTGGGCCTTCTGAGACCATGGGTTATGTGTTTCAGTCATTCTCTAAATACTGGTGAAAATCTGTAGTCTGAGACCTGGCCGAACTTTGAAGTAGAGTCTGTCTCTGGTATTACTAACACCCCGATGTGAAGCATGGAAACGCAAGAAAACCTCCTCGGAGTGGTCTGGGTGGTGGCATGTAGGAGTGTCGAGGTGCCAGGTTTGCTTTCCCCTTTCCTACGCTGACAGCACCAGGGAGGCCGGCGACTGCCCTGTGTTGGCCCAGGCCCTGCCTGTTCTGACGAGTGGATTCTGCCCAACAGAGAGAGTCCAGCGTGCCGGCCTGCCCATGGAGAGCGCCATCCTGCACGGGAAGCTGGAGGAGCACGAGAAGGCCCTGCACATCCTAGTTCACGAGCTGAAGGACTTCTCGGCGGCTGAGGACTACTGCCTGTGGCGCTCCGAGGGCAGAGACCCGCCCTACCGGCAGCGGCTCTTCCACACGCTTCTTGCCATTTACCTCAGCCCTGGCCCCTCTGCGCCCGAGCTGGCTGTGGCCGCCGTGGATCTCCTGAACCACCATGCGACAGAGTTTGATGCCACTCAGGTCCTACAGCTGCTGCCGGGCACCTGGTCGGTGCAGCTACTCTGCCCGTTCCTGACGGGGGCCATGAGGGACAGCATCCACACCAGGAGGACCACTCAGGTGGCTCTTGGCCTGGCCAAGTCTGAAAACTTAATCTACAAATACGATAAGGTGAGAGCTTGGCCATCTTCTTGGCCACTCGGCGTGTTATTTCAGGTCTTTGTTACCTGTGGAAAAATATTCTTTGTCAGTTTTTTTCCTCTACAGCTTCGACACATCAGAAATATGATTTCACTCATATAGAAGCAGAGGTGCCTGTGAACAGAGGCTGCAGCTGGGTGGCAGGCATAACGCTGGTGTACTGTTTGTCCCCTTTTAGATACTGACGATCAAAAGAAGCATGGTCATATTGTATGCCAGGCACTTTTCTGCACTTTATATCTTGATACCATTTCATTATCACAACGTTTATATATGGTATCTACTATTATTATCACCATTTCACAGAAGAGGAAACTGAGGCACAGAGAAGTCACATAGTAGATGGAAGAGCCCAGATGTGAATTCCAGGACACTCGAGAATGCTACATTCTTGGTGTGTTCCTCCAACAAATATCACAGACTCAGGGGCTCAAACAACAGACATTTGTTTCTCACAGTTCTGGAAGCTGAAAGTTCAAAGACCAAGGTGCCAGCAGATTCGGTGCCTGGTGAGGGCTCTTCCTGGCTGGTAGACAGCCTGCTTTTCACTGTGTCCTCACATGGCAGAGAGGACAAGCTCTGGTGCCCCTTCTTCTTCTTATGATGGCCTTAATCCTATCACAGTAGCTTCACCCCTTGGCCTCATCTAACCTTCATCAGTTACCAAAGGCCTCACTTTCAGCTGCCATCACATTAGGGGCTAGGCCTTCATCATGTGAATTTGGGGAAGGGACACGCAGTTCAGAACAGTCACCAAGCTCATCTCCCTTGGGAGACTTCACTCTTGTGAGGCCTGTACTCCACGTGGCCAGCAGAGTGGTCTGTCCGAGGCAGGAATCTGATGTGTTCACCCCACTTGGAAGCCTTCATTGACTCCCCAGTGGAGGAGTCGAGGCCTGGAAGATTCAGTCACAGGTCCTTTGGCCTGCCCCTGGTCATCTGTCACTGCTTGCCAGGACACATGGCACCCGCTGGTGGCCTTGGTACCTGCCATTCCCTCTGCCTGGAGTCTTCTTACCTTGTCCCTTTGTGCACACGGCCTTGGTACCTGCCATTCCCTCTGCCTGGGATCTTCTTACCTTGTCCCTGATGAATGCCTACTGGAAACCCAGACTGAGCACTTCTCCTTAGTGAAGGCTTCATACCCTTTTAAGCAGATTAACCACTACTTTTGCCTGCTGTATACCGCGCACACACGTTCGTAATCACCTGCTTCTATGGCTAGACTTTGGGTTCTTTGAGAGCAGGAAGCTTCATTTATTTATCTCAATATTTCTAGTGCCAAGTCTGGCATCCTGAAGGTATTAAATAAATGTTTGTTGAATGACCGATGAAAGTAATGTGTCCACAGCTAAGTCCATGCCAATAGGCTGACGTGCCTGGGTTGACACAAGTGAATCATGCAGAAAAGCTCTTTAACTTGCAAAACTTAAGTCCTAATGTCCAGACAGGAAACAGTGAAGTTACAGCTCTGTGTCATTAGTTACCTTTAAAGAATTCAAATTATGCGTCCTAGGACCAGTCAGGAACATGCCACTAATCTATCCTATGGCTTTGACCAAGTCCCTTATTCATGCCTTACTTCTCGTATTTGTCAGTGAGAGGACTGGGGATTGAAATGACTTGTACGGTCTTATTAAACTCTAACATTACATGACGTTTTAGTATGCCTTGCTGAAATGTGTCAGAGCTCACAGAACATGTGAGAGAGGATCTTGGTGGGAAATGCCTCGGCCAGACTTGGCAGCCATGATGTTTGTAAAATAAGAAAGCTGATTTGTGGCTTTTTTTTTTTTTTTTTTTTTTTTTACTTCTCCAGTTACTAAGGATTTTTTTGTTTGTTTTCACTTCTAATATTCTGTTTCAAGAGGCTGATGTTAAAGCCATCCTTATCAGTAATAATAATCCATGGGGTAACGCGTGTCAATTCTGAAAAACTGGTACACTGCTGTGTGAGAATCCTCAGTCTTTATTTCTTTTTGCAGATGAAGTTGAAAGGAAGCTCAATTCGACTCTCAGACAAAAAGCTGTGCCAGGTGTGCCAAAATCCCTTTTGTGAGCCCGTGTTTGTTAGATATCCAAATGGTGGTCTCGTCCACACTCACTGTGCTACCAGCAGACACACAAACCCCAGCTCCCCCAGCCCTGGCGCTCGGACTTGAAGAGACCACCCAAGGGCACCAGAGGGACCCCGAGTTCTTTACCAAGCCTGCTGGAAGCAAAGAGCAAAAAGCCACTGCACTGTCAGTCAAGATGAAGGGGTGACATCTGGGTGCTGGGGAGACTTCAGTCACTGTGAAACGGGAACTCTTCCCTGCTGACCACCCTGCATTGAATGTAAATGGAAAATCTGAAAATGGAGTCATTTACAGTTCGCCCATCCAGGTACATAGTCATCCAAAACAGAAGTCCACTTTGAAAGAAAAATGAGCCTTCCCTATGCACTCCAGACAAACTGGACCCCCCTTCCTACTCCCATGCTCGATCTTCAGATACCCATTCGCACTGGAAACATTTGCTTCAGGGTGGCACAGAGGTGACACCCTCTCTTGGCCAGATGAATAGCCGGGGTGTACAGACCTGTGCAGGTAGGTTTCACCATCACACGTTTCCTTCCCGTGAGGGTACGTGTTCCATGGGGTCCTATCTGTTTCCTGGATGACCTCGTGGGCTTGCCCTTGGCAAATGGCTGACCTGAGGAAAGTACTTCTGTTCCTTTCTGCTTCCCATTTGGCTCTCAACCCTTAAAACATTCTGCCTTGTTTACCCAAGCACACTACCTTTTGGGTAAAATCATGTGCTTCTGGCTGCCTCCAAGTGAAGACCGATAAGAAACTGATAAAGTCCAAGAGAGAAGCACCTGCCTCGTCTTGAAAACAATAGTGGAAACAGAACTCGTGGTGGGTCAGGGCCCAGGCTCCTTCACTGTTGCATCATCTCCTGATCTGAAATTCCACAATTACTGTGTGTAACTAAAACTTTTTATTTGAAGTTATATCATCTTTGTAGTTTTTCTCTGGTTTAGAAATGCATTTGTCATATTCGTTAGGGATGTTTTTTCTGGTTAAAATGTACCTCCTATTGAATTCTCGGGAAATTAAAAGGGAATTGTTATGAGCACAAACTGGGCATATTTTCAGGAGAGGTGGGTTTTACCCCCACACTCTCAACAAGGCAGGCAGTGGGTGACAGTTGCCTTTGCACGTGGCAGAGACGTCACCTTTCCTGCAGGTAATGCCACGTCCCCTTATGAGGAAGTCCAGTCAGGCTGCCTTACCTCCCAGCACTTTACATGCCTGCTCTGAGGTTTCCTGAACACACAGGAAAAATGCCCCTCGTTCCTCAGACCAGAAGCTCACTTTGTGTTTTTGTCTGACGTCGCCAAGAGGCCACAGCTGTTGTTCCTCCACTGCCGTCTTTTGAATTTTTTCATTTTGATTGTTGATTCTGTTAGGCATTAACAATAATGTGTAACACTTGGAAGACAAACACCAGCCTATACGTGTGAGAAGAGAGAGAGGACCCTGGGATATGCAGTCTCCATCAGCCTAAGTCTCACAGAGAGGGGATGGAGAGCTTGTTCTCTGTTCTTTAAAAACTGTTTTCTCCACCAACGGTCAGTGTTCCTTTTCCTTTAGTGATTCTAACCAGGTCAAGAAAGCAACGGCATCCATGCATTCTTTCCTAACTATGTCTTGATGATCTAAAGAATAAATGAAGAAGAAATTCGCCTTGTAATTCAGCCATGTGCTGTGTGGATTGGTACGGGTTCAAAGCCCAGTGAAGAGTTTTACCCTGTGGATGACTGTTGAGGAATCGTCACATTACTGTGCACGTTCTCATTACAACTTGGGGGCCTGGATTTACTCCTCAAAGAACAAGTACATGCAACATTGCACTTTTAAAAGCACTGTTTTCTGCACTTAAAATGGGTAATATCTTGAAAAAGCCTTGTGATTGCTCATTCTTAACTTGGGGGGCACTAGTCCCTTTTTTCTCTGAACATTGATCAATATTTTGAAATGTTTGTTACCCTTTAGAATAATGGGAATTAAAGTTTAATAGTTTCCCGTCTCTACCAAATCCTCTAAGACAGGCAGAATTCTATGACGCTGCAGAATTATCCTCCTGTGTTAAAAACCATACCTTTCTCTAACCTTTCTCAAACTCCCACCAGGTTCTTTTCTTAAATCAGATTTTTAAAAAGAAATACATGGTTCTTTCTACAGGCCTGCTGTTTTGTGACTGTGCTTTTGAATAGAGCAATTAGAACCATCACTCAGCCCTTTTTCCTCTTGTTAGGTTCCATGTAACCATTCTAGTTAAAACAGCATGAACTGAACTCATTTGACGTCAATATCCTGTGGGCAGTCCCGTTTAATTTTATGAGCTGTTTATTCGCTGTCGCTGATCAAGTGTTAATGTGTGAGTGCCGCGGAGGCCATGCGGCACCAGGCCTGAGGTCAACGCTGAAAAGCCGTGCGGGTGAGCCAGTGTCCCTGCGTGCTTCCGGAGTGCAGGGAGGCTCAGATGGCCGCGGGGTCACGCCATCAGACTGACGCCTGTCACACAGCTAGGGCAGCCCTTGCCTCTTGCTTGCTAGCCTATGGAAACTGTTCCTTGTAACTTTATCCTTTGCCCCTGGTTGGGTCCCAGATATATAGGATGTACAAATGTAAACTTGTTGATTTTATTAAAATTCTTTTAATTCTTTGTTCCTTCTGTAGTTTTTTTGTTTTTGTTTGTTTGTTTGTTTGTTTGTTTTTAATAAAAATTACCTCAGTCAAGTGATAGTTTCCACTTGCTCAGTATGTAGCCTAAGGAGTTCTAGAACTTACTCATCTGAACCTCGTGGCTCTCCTCTCAGCTCCTGCAGAGGACTTGCGTGGCCACCCCTCAAGATTTTGTTATTGCTTTACCGAATTTTAAACGATTCACTTCTGACTTTATTTTTTGCATGTTCTCAAATTGCTCCTTGATTAATCATGCCTTGAGGAGCTTAACAAAGAGATTCCTGGTTACTTCTCACATACGTCGCCTTTTAGCCAAATGCTCCTAAATAACCCTGCTGCCCTTAGATTTCTAATCCTGAATATATTCAAGGAACAGAACATTTTTTTAATCTCACCTTTTTTTTAATAATTTTTATTTTTTGATTACAGTTGCCATGCAATATATCGGTTTCAGGTGTACAATACAGTGATTAGAAATTTGTATGCCGTACGATAATCTCACCTGTTAAGTGTTAATTCATCCCTTAGAACCTGTTCATAGCAGGTCTTTGAGAAGTGCTACTGAATGAATTTCACAGCACTTCCCCTTCTTCTTTCATTCATTTCAGGTAATGTACTAAGGGTGTGTTGACACAGTTGATACCCCCCAACTCTTCTAACCAATTCTGCATGCCAGCCAGGCTGGTAAATTCCTACTATGTGTGGGTGAGAGCGGGGGCGAGGTGTCCTGAGTCATCCAGATTTCAAGTTGAAGGAACTCAGGCACGGGTCGTTGGGTGATTTCCTTGGAGTCCGAGTCCCCACCTCAGGTGTCCCTGTCTGCTGCTTCACCAACCATGAACAAAAAGCGAAAACCAGAAACCAACCCAGAATTGACTGTATTCAAACAGAAAACCATGAAGCAGAAACTTGACTGTCCTTTTCACATTTCTGTCTTGTTGGTATTAGATGGTCATTCACATATTAGAGATGAAGCAGGGCGGTGGTGGGGGGGGGCACTTAGGCTTACACACCTGACTAGAAAGGAAGAGGTTGTAGACTCACTGTCTATGGGACTACTGCACAGCCAAGTGGTGAGAGAGAAAAGTGTGAATAGATGTCCTAAGCGTCTGTCTGTGAAGGCAGAGACTGGCACCTGACTTGATTAAATGGGCTGTGACTCCATTAGTTGTAATTAGAAACTGACTAACACCCGATCTGCTCTTAGCAGATCTGTGAACCTTAGTATTTAAAATGAAAATGTGTAAGAATCTAGACCATTTGGACGAGAGGGCCTTTCACCTTCTCCAAAAAGCCAAATGGCTGGAGCACCACCTAAAAGCTTATTGATACCTTGTTCAGAGATAAGCACAGGAATTAATGAAGTCTGCTGCTTTAGCTTGCAGCCAAGGAAGGGATACAAGTAGCCACGATTCAGTCTGCAGCCCAGAGTTCTAAATGAGGTAAATGAGAAACGTGGTAAGAAAAGATTAGCAACACACACAACTCGATAGGCCAACTGTGACTTGAGAAGTAAAATATTACCACTAAAGTTGGGGAAACCGGGTCTCATCGGGCTTTGACACACCCAGCTGTGGTCCTGGGCAAGTCACATTCCCTAGACCTTGCTGTATCACCTATAGTCTGGAGGTGGAGTGGGGTGGTGTCTGAGGATCCTCCAGGTCTCACCCTCTGTTCCAGCAAGGGAGGTCAGGGCTAAGTAGTGGGGATGGTCCAGCCTTTGATACCAAGTGCTGCCTTTATAGGGTCTCGGGTCTCTCAGGACGTCAACCAGCGCAGGACTCTTTTACAGTGTCTCCATGGATGTGTCTGAGCACTCCCAGAACCTCACTGCATTGTTCAGTTATGAGGAAAGTGCTTCTGTAGCCTACACTCCCAGAGCTGCCATCTGCAACTGTGAGAGGAGTGGGCCTTTCCAGTAGCGGGTTTCCACATACCCCTTTCCTCCAACATGTTCCGCTCCCGGCTGGGAAACCCTGTGCCTTTTCTCATGTGCTCTAGTTTCCACAGTCCTTCACCACTATGGTCATCCTTCTTTAGAGAACTTTTTCCATTCATCTCACTTGAAATGCCAGTTTTTGCCTTCTCAAATTTCATTTGTGTTTGACTAAACTGGAGAGGCAGATTCCCACTCCAGTCTCAATTAGATGGTGGACTGCTGTGACCACAGACAGAGCACGTTGCATCATTGCTGCCCATCTGACTGACTCATCCATACTCTACCCTTGTCTTGTCCCCCACATGTTTATATTTACCTATATTTACTGTGTGCACAGTAGAACTTGGCTGGTAGTCTGCACCCCCTTCTCCCACCTCTGTATTCAGCATATTACAGTAAAATCCCCAAATTTATTCCTGAATTACTTTTCAATACATTGCTGACTTACAGACAACTGTTGACTTAATCTCATAAATAAATATAACTGAAATGCTAACCTTTTGCTTTCTTGAGAATTACAGTACAAGAGAGCATTTCACCAGTTGTGATTTATGACGCTAAAGGCATTTATTTCTTTGATTTCAGTTAATTTACAAGAATGTATTCACTTTATAAGAGTAAACATGGTTGGAAACTCAATATTGTATCCAAAAAAAAAAGTTACCATATTACCAATATAGCTATATTTAAAAACAGTTTCCAGGTATGTTAGTCTTACCATTTTCATAGACTTTTTAAATTGTGGTAAGTTACACACAACATAAACATCATTTTAACCATTTTTCAGTGTACAGTTCAGTGGCATTATATACATTCCTATTGTGCAACCATCACCGCCATCCATCTCCAGAACTTTTTTCATCTCATATTGAAACTCTGTCCCCATGAAGCACTAACTCCCCAGTCCTCCCTCCCCTCAGCCTCTGGCAAGCACCGTTCTACTTTCTGTCTCTATAAATTTGATTACTTTAGGGACCTCAGATAAATGGAATCATGCAGTATTTGTCCTTTTATGTCTAGCTTATTTTAATGTCCTTGAAATTCATCCATGTTGCAGCATGTGTTAGAATTTTCTTCCTTTTAAAGACTGAAAAGAATTCTATTTCATGCTTTTTAAATAGTATATGTAGTTACCCAAAGTGTATACACATAGACTATTTGGTTATATGTTTTTTATTTATAAAATTAGCATTGCTATTTTATATATCATTATGAATATGTAAAATATAACCCTATATCAGCCATCTGGAAAGTCATCCATTTATTATCCTAATCCCTTCCATCGGGTTGAAACGGACTAACAAACAAAACTCGCATATGGTCTAATGCAGGCCCTTGAAAATGTGTTAAAAATCAGCACAAAGTCTTTGCCAACAAAGAAAGGTACAAAGACTTCCCCATTGTGATGTGACACTTGTACATCAGGATGTTCAGAAAGCTGATTCAGAAATAAGGGCCACGCCAACTTCTAAGGAAAAAGTGGCCGGAGAGTGTGATTCAGCAGGTGAGGTGTGCTTCCTGGCAGGCCTCCTCACGAAGGTGTCCACATGTTCCATTGTTCTTCCAACCTCTCTACACAAACCTGTCATATCTTTCAGGAAGGGAAGGAGCGATGCCCATCCCCAAACCCCTGGTTATGGCCTGCCTAGACGGTGGATCCAGGTATTATGGCTCCAGTCCCTGCCTTCAAGTAGGTCACTAAAGGATATCCCTGGGGTATTGACAGCCTGATGAAGCTGTACACAAGGTAGGAAGGGAGCGTTCTTGCTTTCCTGGGAGAGCAAGAAAGTGACTTAGTAGACTGTGTAGATTGTGTGTGTGTGTGTGTGTGTGTGTGTGTGTGTGTCTGGATCAGGGGATGGTGAGGGCTGGTGTTCACCACTTCCTCCAAACGTGAATAAGAGAAATGGGGCCAGAGCTAGTTAGAACCAGTCTGTTTCTTTAGTCAGAGTCCTTCTTCCACTGCAGTGAGGAGTCTTGGTGTTATGGAACGCTAACATGTTTTTGCGCCTCCACTGCAGATAGGTGTCTTGGGTAAACCTCAGCAGAGGTTATCTAGTGACAGGTGGAAGGTTGGACATCTTGACATATTGAATGCATGAACATCTTGTACCCCATCATCATTTCTGGCCCCGTAACTATAATTTCACATAACTGAGCATTAGAAAGGTGTAGGGCTGTGCCATTTTTCTATCTGTACTCAGTTTGTGCCTACTGGTGTCATTTTCAGGTATCTTGTGTTTGTACAAATACTAGAAAATGAGCTACTCGTCCAGTGGGCTAGAGGAGTGACGGCTCTCTACATGGGAACCGTGTGGGGCTGTACTCAGTAGGAAGTGGATATGTCTTCTCCTAGGTCACAGCCACAGTAACTTACTCCAAGTTTACAATCATGGTTATGCAACTGCAAAAATAGAACTGATGTTGTTGCAGGAAGTGACACCGGATGAAGGAATTTGGACACTCAGACAACTTTGTTGGAAGAAAGAAAATTTATTAGCCGGTGGAGCACATGGGGCTTAACAGCACCAGAGCACGAGCTCCTCTTGGTTAAATTTCTTACAGTTTATATATCTTTGCAGTGTCCATGCTCCACAAGGGGCATGTGATTCCTTTGTCTGAGGTTTTACGTGCACCTCATGACTCAGGATGGGGAGGGGAAGTTTCAGGTGGGGACTGCAAGGGGGAAGGAATTCTCAGAACACTGGTCCTATCTATTTACAGATCATTTATCTTGTAGGTTTTGCAAGAGTTTCCAGAAGGCCATTTAGAGATCTATAGGGTGTGGTTAATCTATAACCGACTGAGTTGGTCATTTCTGTAAACCCTTCCCTTTGCATTTTTCAGATGCCTCCTCTCCTCTCTTAATATTACCACAGAGGAGGGCAGCTGAGGGTCTAAACACGCATGTTACCAAAGAGCTGCATTTAATGCTAAGGAGGAAGCTTTCCTTTTCAATTCGTGTGTTCATTTAGTCACATACTCAGTCTTTCATTCATTCCACAATTGTGTAAATTCTATAGATAAAATGGTGAAAAAGACACAT